TCCTGTTCCTGTTCCTGCTCCTGTTGCTGCTCCTGTTCCTGTTCCTGTTGCTGTTCCTGCTCCTGTTCCTGCTCCTGTTCCTGCTCCTGTTCCTCCTGTTCCTAATCCTGCTCCTGTTCCTGTTCCTCCTGTTCCTGTTCCTGCTCCTGTTGCTGTTCCTGTTCCTGTTCCTGTTCCTGCTCCTGTTGCTGCTCCTGTTCCTGTTCCTGTTGCTGTTCCTGCTCCTGTTCCTGCTCCTGTTCCTGCTCCTGTTCCTCCTGTTCCTAATCCTGCTCCTGTTCCTGTTCCTCCTGTTCCTGTTCCTGCTCCTGTTGCTGTTCCTGTTCCTGTTCCTGTTCCTGCTCCTGTTGCTGCTCCTGTTCCTGTTCCTGCTCCTGTTCCTGCTCCTGCTCCTCCTCCTGTTCAACATTGTACAAAAGTATAGTATTGAAGGAGAGTCTTGAAATTTTTTGGTCCGTGAATATATAATCTACAAAATGTATAACAAGAAAGTCCAGTTATTTAAATGGCTTAACAATTAACCTCAAAGACTTCTTCACAAGCGACTTAGTGACTTAGGTAAAGTTATAGAGAGTGCTGTGTCTTCAAGGTGACTAAAAATACAGAAAATCCATTTTAAAGGGCAATAACTCGATAACATCAGCACCAATTTTAACAAAACTTCGAACAAATAATAAAGTGCAACCAAAGGGATGTCAAATTTGTCAGTAGGAAGAAACTCAATCTGAGTACTCGAAAAACAACCCAGTTTATTAAAATAAAACTTAATCAAAATTGAGTAAAACGCTAAACTTTACAACCCCTTGAAATTCACCCATGATGTGTATCTGTGCTTTAAAGAGCATAATATATATTTTAAACTGACTTTGTCATAAGCAGAGTGTCTAAAAAAGATAAGACCCAGTTCAAAGCGAAATGTTTTCCTTTGGGGGTTTTGAGGGACATAGTCTACAAAAAACAATCCACATACAATTGAATAAATAAACAATTCAATGTTGATCTGGAGGTCCCAGAAACATGCTTCCGCATTATTCAATATTTCTAGTCCTGCCTGGAGTAAAATTTTAGTGGTCAAAACACGGAACGCATAAATATTAAATATCCATCATCTTCCCGAATTTATTTCGCAAAGTCAGTTTTAAATAAATAAATGCGTACTTTGGAACACAAATGAGCGTTATTACGGTTTTTTCTAAGAAGTTAATTTATGCATTTTACCCGATTTCAGTTGGAACTTTATAAACTTGAAATTTACCTAACACATCGGTCGATTTTCTTCACATTGCAAAAATATGATGTCACCTAAGCTATATTGTATTTGTGAAAAGATTTGTTGAATTTGATGCTAAAGATGACTGAGTCATTGACCTTTAAATAGGTTCTCTTTTTTTAAAACATATGATATTGCAAGAGAAATTGCTTCACAAACGAAGTCTTGTGGCCGGGCTGTACCTGCCACAATGTGAGCCACGCCCAGGAGCCAAGAATAAAGAAAGCAATGTTTTTTTTGTCAAAATATTATTTCTCTATACAGTTGCTGGAAAATTGACGATTATAATATTGTAAACTTTTGTCAAGCGAAATAGAAAAGACTGGACTTACCAATAGCAAGAATGGCGAGGGCGGCAACTGAGAATAGAAGCAAAAAAAAAAAAAAAGAAATCAGGAAGGGTTGGGTGGGGTGGGGTGGGTGATGTACACTACTACAGTGCAGTCAAAGCACGAAGTCTGAGGTGTATAATACGGCTAGGCTCTTCGCTTTTGCACTCAAAAGTCACGATTTCTATTTATGAGAAAGGATGTCTATTTCGTCTCTCATCTCCATCAATGATGCTTTTGGTCCTGGTTCGAATTTCAAACGTGTTTATCTTGATTTTCGGTTGTCTTGGGAAGTTTTCGCGATTCTTCACCAATTTGACTAGGTTCTGTAGAAGACGTACGTTAAAACCGGATGTCCCACAACCTTTCAGTGTTGAAAGAGGCGTTAATAAACCTATGCAATGCCCCCCCCCCGCTCTCTTTCTCTCT